CTTTTTTAGTCCCACTCTCTCCTCTGTTTCTAGGACTCTTATGACAAGAATGTTAGATCTTCTGTTATAGTCTCATAGGCCCCTAAGGCTATGTCAATTTTTTTTTCCCCAATCTATTTTCTCTTGTTGTTCAGATTGGGCAACTTCTATTGTTCTATCTTCCAATTCACCAGTTCTTTCCTCCATCCTTCCCATTCTGCTGTTGAGCACACCCAATGAGCTTTTTTCTTTTTTTTCTGTTACTCTATTTTTTCAGTTCTGAACTTTTCATTTGGTCCTTCTTTATATCTGCTATTTATTTGCTGAGATTTTCTAGTTCATCTCCCCTCCCCCTCTGGCCGACCTCAGGCTCTTGAGCCCAAGGTTTTAATCACTGTATTTCACTCTCTTGCAACATAAAAAATAAATGAAACAAAAACAAAATTTGTTTCCCCTCCTTCTCATCCCTTCCAAATGTCACACTTCATCTTCTCTTTTCTGTAATCCAACAAATACATATATATTTTTTACAGCTTTGTTATTGTTGTTATTAGGTGCCACTGAGTCGATTTCTACTCACAGCAACCCCATGCAACAGAGTAGAACTGTTCCATAGGGTTTTCTAGGCTTTCATTTTTACAGGAGTTCTCTAGGTCTTTCTCCTTCAGAGCTGCCGGGTGGGTTTGAACTCCCAACTTTTTTGGTTAGCAGTCAGGTACTTAACTGCTGCATGACCGAGGCTCCTTTTCACAGCTTTAATAAAGTATAATTGGTGTCCAATAAATTGTGCATATTTGAAGTATACAATTTGATGAGTTTTGACAAATACATCTATGAAACCGTCACCACAATCAAGAAAATGAACATATCCATCTCCCCTCAGACTATCCTTATGTTCCTTACTACTCCTGTCTCCAGGTAAACACTGATCTATCTGCTTTTTGTCCCTATAGATTGGTTTGCCTTTTCTAGAATTTTATATAAAAGGAACTGTACAGTATGTATACTGTTAAGCTTGACTCTTACACTCAGCATAATTATTTTGAGATTTATCCACGTTGTAGTATGCATCACTGTTTTGTTCCTTTTTATAATGGAGTATATGTGTATACAAAAATTTGTTTATCCATTAACCCATGGATGGATATTTGGGTTGTTTCTAGTTTGGGGCTATTAAAAAACAGCTACGATGAACATTTGTATACAAGTCTTTGTATGAACATATGCTTTTATTTCTCCAGGGTAAATTCCCAGGAGTGAAATGGCTGGATCATATGATGTGCTAGTAAACTGACTCTCTGGAAAATATAAAAGTCCTGATTTATATCACTTGCTGATTTCCCTGGTGTAAATATTTCTTCTATAGCTGATTTCAAGCTAACAATGGTTTAATAATGGGTTTGCAATTTTTCTGAAAATTTAACAATTGGCTCTTGTGAGATTTTCTACTTCTTTATTGAGACTTTCTGTTTTTTCATTTGTGTAAAGAGATTTCATAATTGCTCCAAGGATCATTTTTACGGCTGCCTTAAAATTCTTGTCAGATAATTCTAACATGTGTCATCTTGGTGTTTGCATCTGTTGCTAGATTTTTTTCTCATTGAAGTTGAGATCTTATCATTTCTTGCTATGATGAGAAATTTTGATTGACACCTGAACATTTCTGCATTCTGTTATGAGATTCTGGATCTTATTTAAACTTTTTGTTTAAGCTAGCTTTCTCTAACACTGCTCTGGCAAGGAAAAGTGGAACATCACCTTGTTAATGTGGAGGAAGAAGTCCAGGTTCATCATTTCACCTGTTAACACTCAAGGAGGATGCATGTGTGACTCTCCATGTGGTCAGAATTGGTACTGTGGGGCATGAGGAGGGTGGAAGGCAGAGCTCCTTATTGACTGGCAAGGTTGAAAGTCCTGGCTCCTTACCTGGACTTCTCTGACACCACTCTGGCAGGGGTGCTGGGGTGAGTTGTACGGCCTGGTAAGGGTGCAAATCTATGCTTCCCACTTGGTCTTTGCTGGCATAGGTGGGGTCACCATCTTCTCAGTGTTGTTTGGCTGGAGTAGAGGGATTACTGTCTGAAAGTATTGTCTTTCTAGACTTCCCCTTTCCTGGTCCTTTGGCCAGAGTGAGTAGGGTTTTGTTGGCAGCTTTTTTTGTCTGCACCTGTTGGTGTTTCTGGGTTGCTGGCTTCTTCAGCTCCACATTTGTGATACATGAGTCAAAAAAGAAAAGCCAGAGAACTCACCTGTGTCATTCCTCAGGCCCTGAGTTCCTTAGTCAGTCTGTTTTCTTTTCTTCACCTTTCAGAGTTTTCTTATATTAGTTTTATATATAATTTCCAGGACTTTTAGGGGGTTTTAGTTGTAGTTAGTGGACAGATTAGAAAAAAAAATAAGTCTATTCCATCTTCCTGGAAGCAAAAGTATGTTAATTTACTTTCAGATAGGTCCAACTTTTTTAAAGCTCATCATTTCTGAGTTAATAAAATTAAGGAATATTCAGAAATAAAAATGTTTAGGAAAACAATTTGGAAATAGCTTACCGCTACTTTTCAGCATACAATCATTTTTGCTTTTGTGAAATTATGAGTGTTGCTGCATTATCAATATCAATAATTTAAGCTATTTTAAAAACTACAAGGAGATACCATCTCACCCTGGCATTACTGGCACAAATCAAAAACACTGGAAATAACAAATGCTGGAGAGACTGCGGGGAGATTGGAACTCTTATGCACTGCTGGTGGGAATGCAAAATGATACAACCATTCTGGAAAATGATATGGTGCTTCCTTACAAAGATAGAAATAGAAATACCATATGATACAGCAATCCCACTCCTAGGAATATATCCTAGAGAAATAAGAGCTGCCGCACGGATAGACATATGCACACCCATATTCACTGCACCACCGTTCATAACAGCAAAAAGACGGAAACAACCTAGATGCCCATCAACAGATGAATGGATAAACAAACTATGGTACACACAC